GCAAGGATCATAATTAACATGCAAGGACAGACCCCAAGCCATCTAGGTGTCATGTTGATATTCCTGTCTCTCAGAGCTGGTGTACATCACTTAATCATGAGCACAAGCACGTTATCAGCTGAATATATAAACTGACTCCACTTAAAAGCACTGCACAGGAGGTGATGTGAACATTGTATTCATGTTATTCAATATGAGAAGGATCAAGCTTTCGGGACAGTGCAATAAAGCAACAATAGGAAACCTTACCAGGCCAATTAGATTAGATGCAGATGTTCAAAATGGTTTTAAACAGTGTATTTTAATACTGAGACAAATGTTTTTAATGTTTATGCATGCATATAATGAATTCATGTCCTGGCATTGAATGTTTGCCATTTGTATGTTATGCTCCGCCTTGAGTGAGAAGGGCGGAATATAAATATTTTAAATAAATAAATGATAAATTTACAAATGCAAATTTCTATTTGAGTAAGTAGTGATCAGGAATGTGTGAATAGATGTTTGTGGTGTCAATGACTGGTCACATCTAATATCTATACCTCCTTGTGCAGCATACTAGGCTGTTTAGTTGCAACACTGTATGCTTTTCTTAGCATACAGTGTTGTCCAAAGCTGTCATAACTCATGGGAATGACAGTCATCCAGTTAATGCTCCTGCTCTTATTTCTGTCCTAATCCAATAATATATGTGCATGGTGATTCCATGGCTGGAATATTTCTATAATAAAAGAAGCATGAGTCAAAATCAGTGGGCCCTTTTTCTCTAGGTGTAGAAAAATGAGAGGAAGTCCTAAGGAAGTAAGAAGAGCTCTGCTGGTTTAAAACAATGTTTCATGTAATCCGAAATCCTTATTTCTACAGTGTCCAACTAGATGCTTCTCAGGAGCCCTAAAGCAAATCAGGAGCACAACCACCCTATAATAATAATAAAAAATAATAAAACTTTATTTATACCCCGCTTCCATCTCCTAAGGGACTCGGTGCGACTTACATAAGGCCGAGCCCACAATACATCAATACATGCAATAACAACCACAATACAAAGCAAAATACAAATACTAATACAAAGCAATTAAAAATTAAACTCATACATAAATAGCATAAACATTGAACAATAGCACAACTCATTCTTAGAACTGGTATCCAGTGGCATTCTGATTTCAAAAATGAAGTCCAGAAGCAGATCCTGGATGTCATGGTGTGTTTTGATGAAGGTTGGGAAACTGAAACCTGGCAAGATTAAGGCTCTGTGGTGTAATGGTCCTCATGTCCAAGAAACAGGCAGTTACCAGTTCTGGATGGGACTGCATTCCTTCTGGAGAGATGGGTGCATAGTCTAAGAACTTCTAAATGTATACTGTCACTGGATACACATAATCTGAGTGGCTAGGAGCTCATTTAGTCAGCTTCCACTGAAGTAGCCACTATAGTCTTTCCTGGATGGGGAGCTTGGTCATAGCAACAATCGTGGTCAAGAATGGATTCTGTGGCTATATTTAGATACATTTGGATACAAGAATGGATACATGAGGCTATATTTGGGCTTGGTCCAGATACTGCAGTTAGTGCAGAAAAAGGTGCCTTATCCAAAATAGTTCTTTGTCAGCATATGTTACTGAGCCAAGTTTAATGATTCATTGTTATTCTATAAAAGTCCCAAACACTCAGAGACAACCTTAACCTTTGTATCTCTGCCTGTTCAATGTCATCATATGGGGAGTTGCACCGTCCCTTCCTTTTATCTTCTAGGGTCATGAAGGACAGGTTGCTTAATATTAGAGAATTTGCTTTTTGGATCTCCCTCTTTATTAGCATTTGGAAAGCACACATTGTTTTGATTTCTAGATGCTTGCTTAAGACCTATTTTTTTAGACAGGCTTTCCAGAAGTACAATTGTAGATATTTGTCTTCTACGTAGTGAATGTCTATATTGTATTATGGATAGTTGTGTTTGATGATGCATAATGTTAAGCAGTATAGAAATGTTAAAACACAGTCCAATAAACTGTTGTTAGTTACAACTGATATTTTCTTCCTGGAGCGTAATCCACTTTAAAACAATCTGAACCAATGGCCTTTCCTAAATCTTGTCATACTAAATAAACCTATATCACATCCTCTGAGGCAATCCGTTAATGATAGTTATCCTCAGGAGAGGAAGATATGTTGCTACTATAGAGATGGAATGACTGACATATTCCAAGGCGGGAAGAGGAAAGCTATAACACTTACAATCAGAACATTGTACAGAGGTTTGTATTTTATAGGCTTTTGTCAATTGATATTTATATGAATTTGAGGTCATGTCAAAAGATATAGAGGGGACATTTTATTTGATGATTGCCTTGAAGTTTCAGTTTGTACAGACCTTTTCTCATTGGAATTGTTGACTTCTGATGTGAGAAGGATGATTCCATGAATGTGGAATTACTTTCTTGAATTTAGGTCAGATATGGCATAAAGCCTTTCATTCTGCCATCAGAGATCAATTGATTTCCTCCCACTTCTTTCCACTGAATGACAATTTAGTTGAAAGACATGTGGCATTGATAGGCATAGAAGACAAAACATGACATATAAAATAATCTACAAATACTATTTCCAGGCTTTTTTATGTGTATAATTTTCTATTTGTTTCTATTTAATTCATAATTATTTTATATATATTTTCAATGTAATAAGGACTTTAGAACTTCATTTTTAATATGATTATATTGCAAGTGAGGACCTTCATTTCTTAAAATTGTTGCATATCTACATTTGGCTTTCCTGATCTTGATTATTTCTTTGGTTTATAGATTCGGATCAGATATTGTTTTGGTTTGGTTATATAAGAAGTCACAGTGACAGAGGCTCTTTCTTTGGAGGCTTTTAAACAGAGGCCGGATGGCCATCTGTCGGGGGTGCTTTGAATGCAATTTTCCTGCTTCTTGGCAGGGGGTTGGACTGGATGGCCCATGAGGTCTCTTCCAACTCTTCCAACTCTATGATTCTATGATTCTAAGGTGGGAATGGCAGAAGGGCGGTGATGCTAGGCATAGGAAGTGCAGGCGAAACTGGAGTCTAAGTTTTAGGAAATCCTTTCAAGTCCAAAAAATAAAAAAATCCCACCTAGGAAGAGTGACTAGGGAGTTCATATCCATCCTGCCTTTTGTCTGCACAGCTATACCTTACTTTGGATTACCACAATAAGAAGGTTAGACTGAATTACAGTGACCTTTGTCAGGTTTGAACTACCAACCTTTTGGTCAGAAGTCCTGCGGCACAAGGGTTTAACCCATTGTGCCACCTTGGGCTCCAGAGATTTAAATTGGCATATTGCTTTCAGTGTTGGACTAGGACTTTAGGAAGATTAGGGTTCAAATCTTCACATAAGTGTGAAAATCCACAGGTTGATCTTGGGCAAGCACTACTTTCTCAGCCTCAGAGAAAAGCAGAAGAAAACCCTCTCTGAACAAACCTTATCAAGAAAGCCCGGGTATAGGGTTTGGTTGGAAGTCACACACCACCAACAATGATTTAAAACTTTCTCTTTCAGTTTTGAATCTTCTTAATATAAAAGCCCTCCACTCACACTAGCTTAGATACTCTGTCCCCTGTGCACACATCTGATTGGACTAATTTGTCATATCTGTATGGTGATTTAATAAATATGTGAAATTGTATCTTCCCAAACCAAGGACTGTTTATGCCATGTACATAGTTTTCCAAACCAATACTGTACAGAGTCCATTGGTAGCATCCCACTATGGATCTTTTTTGACCTATGCAATCAATAATGGAGAGCTATACAAAGGTCATGGCACAGCAATTGTAATGATCACTTGGCTACGTGGGTGTCTAAATATGAAATTACAAACAGTGTATCATGGATCATTGCCTCTTATGATACGTAAACATCTATAAATGAAAAACAAGCAGGAAGATAGTATGCTTCCTTTGGTTTTGATTGCTTAAAATCAATACCTGAATACACCTTAATGTGTTTGAAATATAGTGGCTTGTTTACAATATGGATCTGGTGTGGTGCTAGCACAGTTGAAAACAGATTTGCATTCAGACAGCTCCTACACTGCTTTTAACTTCCATGCAAACATAGCTACCTGAATATTGTATAGTCCTGCAAGTGTGCTTTCTTCTCCCCACCCTGATTATCAGTAAGTTGATAAGAGTAGATTTCCCTGCCCTGGTTCTCAGTAAATTGATATGTAGAGATTTCAAGAAAAGAAGGATTTCAAACTCTGTGCCCCATTCTTTTGATTTAAGCTGGGCAAAAGATCTGAAACTGACCAGCTCTGCTAATGCTCACTCATACACAGGCATTAGGGAGCAAAAGAGACACATGCACATACCTGGATTAAAATGAGAAATTGATGTTGGTATGATTTGGTTGCAAAGTTGGGAAATTCTTGGGTTCATTAGTGTTCCTGGGTTCATACTAAATACATAAGGAATAACTTAGGTGAATAAAATGGGGCATAGGGAAAGTAAGGCTTGTATCGAATCTGGCACTTCAGTAGTTTTTTTAAAAAAAGCTAAATGGAAAGAAAGGGGAATTTGTGAACAAGTATCTTGTGCAGCACATGTACTTTGGATATGATTCCGGTGAAGTCCTTGAAAGGCATCACTAAATATAAGAATGAAGTCAAGATTTGCCCTGTATCGGTATTTTAGGACTAGAATGTGGATAACCTTTGTCTGTTCAGAATTAGATAAGACTATAACCCCCATCAGTCCTAGTCAGCATAACCAATGAATAATGGGAATTGTAGTCGAACAACAACTGGAGAGCTACAAATTGCCCACTGATTTGCAATGACAAACAACACACCTTCATTTCATTTTGATTTCATTTTGTGCCCAGGAAGCAGTAATTTTGGAATGGAGAAAAACATTGAGGGTGCAGAAAATTCAGTATGGAGACTTTCTCTTCTCTTCTCCAGATTAAAGGGAAATATTCTCTTGCGAAAACTAAGCAAACCGGATGAGGCACTCACCATCAGCATTTCACTGGTCAGGGAGTTTACTAAATCCGACACTGATGAGCGAGGCTCCGTCTTGTGGTCAGTCTCCTCGTGTTGCGTCTGCCCTGGCACAGCTGCTGCATTCCCCACTTTGCCACCAGAAGGTAACCTGAGGGAGGAGAGGGGAAATGTGTGCATAATCGAAGCTATAGGACCAGGGACATAGGGGAAAACCACAGATTATGGCAGCTCCATCTGACAACAGAGGGCAACAGAGGGCAAAATCGTGGCTTCAGCTGAAGAATTAAAACACAACACCCACCTGCCAACCACAAGCCACATAAACCATCAGGCTTCGGAAGCCCACCATCTATATTCTCCACCTGAAGAGCAGTGTGACTTATTCTTGCTTCAATATTTTGCTCTTCTTTTCTTTTGATCCTACCCTTCTATATCTCTGTAGTGAAACTGAGACAGTTAACTCCTTCAGATCAGGAGCTGAGAATGCTGTCTTCTTTGTATATTGTTTGCCGCTTTCATTAGTAATAATACTAATTTAATAATGCTAATATTAAATATTATTTTAATTAGGATTACCATTAGGATTTCCCTCTTAAGATTCAATAGTTCTTTGCCCCTTTTTTGCTCTCCTTTTATGAATATCAGGAAATTGCCTATAAAATATGCCAATTTGAACCTAATTTTGGCTTAAAACATACATGGAATGGAACAGAGCTTGAGAAAGTTACTTTTTTGGATTATAATTCCTAGAATCCTACAATCTGCCTGTATACTGGTCATACTGGTTAGAGCAGTCTGGGAGCAGCAGTCCAAAAATAAAGTAACTTTCCCAAAAGTTGGCATTGAGCTTGATAGGAAATACTGAAGCTTCATGAGCTACAGGCTGGGTTTGTTTCTGGTGCTTCCTGCAATAAACCCCTTTCCTGCTTCTCCAGGCCATTAACCTTCTCCAAACACAAACATTCGCTCTCACAAAGAGGCAACCGCCTTTGTTTGCTTTCTTTGACAGGCAATTTCTGAAATGACGTATAGCCAGATGGTTTTGCTGCCAGCCTCGGTGTATACAGGGAGCACCTGAGGCACCTGAGCGGTAGGTGATCAAGGGATGTCTCACAAGGTCCAGCACAGGAGCTGAGTCACACGGTCAGGGCAGATGGTTTGTGTCAGGCCAGGTAGTCCATAGTCCAAAACATGACCCCAGTCAAGTCAAGCAACTTCATCGTGGCTCACCTTTTACCAGATGGGCTGAGGCCCATCCATTATGCCTTACACTGTGGCGTCATCACAGCAATAACATAGCATAGCAGCTGCTTTTCTGTTTACCAGTTTTAGTGTGGATGCTGCAGGCAACAGACAGAAATTGCCAAGTAATAGCATGCCTAGAAATCCCCTTTGTGATTTCTCCCTTTGCGTACCCATAACTCATAGATTGGCCGTGGATTACCAATCTAGCCAACAGGCTATAGAGTATGCACATGTCTTCTTCAAGAAGCTTGCCAGCAAAATGCTCCATTCTTAACCCCATGGCTACTTAGAAAGATTCCTATTTGGGATAACATCACCCAGCCAATCCACCAGTCTGAGATTCTGAGAGTTGAGTTTTTAAATTATCTTTTTTCCAAGTTCTAAAATCTTATCCTATATATTAAACATGTTCAACTTGAACAGTTGTTCTCTGATTCATCTGAAATCCTAATTTTACTTGTCACTTCTTCTATCATGCCATTTTTTCAAAATGCAGAAGGGCCATACAAGTACATCAGATATCTCAAGCACGATGTATGCTTTTCTAGCAGTTTATCATGTCAGCAATTTGTTCCTGACAGTGCTGGGACACTGACAAGAATGTGGATATCTGAAAATGTTCATATCTAGCACATGGCGGCAGGGTAGGAAAACTCCTAGGAGGAAGTTAGGAGGAAGGCATGAACCAGGAGGAAGAGAATGGAGCTGGCAGGGAGAAGAATACTAGAAAGGGCATGTATGCAAGATGGAACACTGAACTGTTCATTGCACAAAGAAGTAATATGGCAATGGATGCACAAGGAGATAACAAGTCATTGTTACAGACTGTCACAAAACACACAAATAGGAAGACAACACATTGATATGCATATATATATGTAAAGGTAAAGGTTTCCCCTGACATTAAGTCTCGGGGGTGGTGTTCATCTCCATTTCTAAGCCAAAGAGCCGGCATTGTCCATAGACACCTCCAAGGTTATGTGGCCAGCATGACTGCATGGAGCACAGAAGCTGTACCTATTAACCTACTCACATTTGGATGTTTTCGGACTGCTATGTTGGCAGAAGCTGGGTCTAATAGCAGGAGCTCACCCCACTCTCCAGATTCAAACCACCAACCTTTCGGTGAGCAAGTTCAACAGCTCAGCGGTTTAACCCGCTGCACTACCAGGGAGCCCATACAAAGATATAGAATTGAGTAAACACAAAACCTATTAGGAAGGGTTTAAGATAAATGTGGTATTAGGTGCTCAGACAACCTAAAACAGCCTCAGATCCATGTTGCATAGATTGTGAGTTTGGGTATGGCAAACTGGGCAATATGCTTCAGTGTGTGATATTTGGCCAATTTTTATATAATCTCCTTCACAGAAAATTCTGAGGGAATTGAGATTTCCTTTATTGAATGGCAGCATGCTGTATGGTCAGCAAACAGTCAAAGGAAGCATAAATATAAGAGATGTTATGCTTTGTGTTGAATATGTGGAAGAAAGGAGTAGAACCGGGTACTCTATAGAGTACCCAATTGCAAGAAGATAATTGTTTCCATTGAAGTTCTTTGGAAACATATGTAAGGCATTGAATTTTTCTATTATTTCTGTGAAAAGTGCTTTGAGTCCCCCCAGGAATAAGAAAAGCGGTATATAAATACTGTAAATAATAATAAATAATAATAACATTTCTTCTTCTCAACAATGTGCCTGTTTAGAATGAGAAAGGTCTAATGCGTTTCATATACTCAGTAAAAGACTGGCCTTTTAAACACACCTGGCAGGATCTTCTATGGCAGTTATAAAAGCATAATCTGCAGTATGAATATGTGATTGTTAGGTATTCATCACCCATACATAGCCCCTAGTTTTGGAGCTATGTAGAGACTGTGGAAGTCCCCCAATCCATACTTAATGGGCAGCTACTATTGCAATAGTCAGGGATCTGTTTCCCTATTGATCAGGAAGCAGTTGTCTACCATTCCCATTCTTCCTTGCATGAGCGATCTCTGCTGTGAGGGGGAACTGCAACAGTGGTCTTGTTTTTGACTGTCACACAGGAGATTGCTCAAGGAAGGTTTGGGCCAGGAGTCACTGCATAGCAGCAAAATGATGGTGCTGACGCACACATAACTCCCATACAGAATTCTAGATATTATTAGCACATACAATGAACAGGTGTCTGTACAAGTGGCACGCTGTACGTCTGACTGGCATATGTTCATTGTAAGTGTTATAAAAAGACACAGGACCAAAGGACCAATTTTTTTGTCTAACCCAGAATTATCTGTTCTGGCTGAAAGTGGCTCTTCACATTTTCATGTGAAAGTTTTTGGTCGTGACCGCTTTCCTGCCTCTTTGAGCTGGAGATCCCAAGGTTAGAACCTATAACCTTCTGAATGCAAAAAGCATGCTTTCCTGCAATGGTCTTTCCCATAACTGCACATGCAGAAGTCTCCTTCCATGCAGAAGGTTCCAGGTTGGCAGGAAAAAAAATGGTTTTGTACATCTTAAATCTTGTTCAGTTGGACTTCAATTTAAGTTTCTGTAAGATGTGTGGACCACGTATGAAGAAAACAAACACATATACATGTTGCCAGAGGCAGATAAACACTGTCAAAGACATGCAGACTGAGACATAGTTGGGAACCCAAAGATAATAAATCAGATGTCCATAGCTCTTGATATGCCATGAAGTATCTGGTGCTATTAGAATCCCAAAAAGAAAGACTAGCACATGCCAATGAACTGAGGTGGTGACTCATCAACAAAAACATTTCCAGGCATGCTGAGATCCAGACACATTGCACACACAGATCCAAGTGTCTTGACATTGACACTTGTCAAGAAATAGATCAATACACATGTGGCAATGCATAAACCTTTATAGGCCTCTTCAGTCTCATGAAACATATACACAGGGATAAATCAAGGTGCACATTCAAGTAGGGATGGAAAGCTGAAGAGGTAAAGGCAGCAGACTGATACATGCACATTTCCAGACATGCTGCTATATTCCGGCATACAGACCGGCGCATGCGTACACAGGTAAAGGAGACTGGAATAGCTGAAGAAACCCCCCCAACCACCCCAAGCTAAAAATAAAGTGTAAGTGTGAGGAATATGCATGTGTGTTTGATTGACTGTCAGAAGATATGACAAATCCAGTTATTTTTGCAACCCCAGAGTACTGGATCAAATGCAAAGCTGTCTGAGATTTGGTAGGTGCAGAAGTCACAGGCAGAGAGAGAGAGTGAGGGGGGAGGGGGGAGGAGAAAGAATAGGCCAGGAAGAAAGAAAGAAAGAAAGAAAGAAAGAAAGAAAGAAAGAAAGAAAGAAAGAAAAGAATCACTCAGTCTTCTATCACAGGTTCTGCAGGTTGCTTCCTGATAGAACAGAAATATAGTGGAGGAAAAATGTGGTAGGAGAGAAACAGACACACACTGAGAGAGACAGAGATTAGTAAGGAAAGAGCAGCCATCACACCCACAGGACAAGGCACTAGACTGGAGATGCCAAGGCTGACATTGGGGAAGGTTCACGCAGCAGCAACAGTAGCAGCAAGGCTAGAAGGGAGAAGAGAAAATGCAAGGAAGAGGAGGAGGAGGAGGAGGAGGAGGAGGAGGAGGAGGAGGAGGAGGAGGAGGAGGAGGAAGGGAAGACAGAAAAACATAATGGATCACCGTAAGCAAGTTTGCTGGGTGGAAGGAACAAACCCGACTTTCAAAAAGCACCCCAAAGATCACGGTCACAAGCTCCTCTTGCAATCATTTCACAACCATTAACATTCCATAGACAAACAAGGAAGAGGGGGAGTGCAGAGAAGGGAAGGGAAGGCATACGTCTAGGAAGAGAATGGAGGGTGTGTGGAGGAAGCAGGAAGGGCAATGAAGGCAAATGGAGAATGAACAAG